CTTTAAAAAAAAGTTTTTTCATGTTACTTTGACTGTAGTCCATACACAGAGGCAAATTCTGTTTGGAAACAATACCTAATCATTTCAGCCCAAAAGTTCCCTCAGTTAAAAATCCCTTCAGCAAAAAACCTAGTTATTTTCCTCCCTTGATTCACAAATTAGCATATTATCTTATAAAATTGTCTTCTTGGATTATCACAAAACCACTTTTTTACAAGTTTAAGGAACTAAATCAGTTTTTACCTCCTTCACGATATTCCCGACTCCCTAAAATACTTGAGTTGCATATTTGTTGTGAGAAACTGGGACTTGTAGATCGTAAATCAAAGTTCTGTCTCGTTGGATTTACGACGTGGTGAGGACCTGATGCTAAATGTAAACACAAGTATGAACCCAAGCTCAGAACCCGTGCATGAATGCAAACAAACTACAATGTGTACAGCTGTGCTGCCAAGTATGTTGTATGAGACACAATCTCAGACTAGAAAATGCAAATAACAGTTTTAGTGTTAACAATCAGTGCTTGAATACTGATGTGGTATGCGATGTGAACAGTTATTACTAGTTTAGAATTTAAAAATGTTTTCAGTCAGTCTTGTATTTTAGCAAATTTCCCATATAGGGAATTAGCTATTATTGTATCAATTATCAATTATCAATTATTTAAGATGGGGACGCCACTATGTGCGTATTTTAACCCAAATTGTAGGTCCCATGTTAATACCTGGACCAGAAAGCAATTATGTTTTTGTTTTGATGTCCCTGGATGCCAAAATTAATACAATACCCATTCAAATTCATTTTTAATATTTGTCCATTAGCCCTATAATTTGAGTAAAAAAAATCATTGGAATTTTATGAAATCTGCTGCAAAGTTTATTCCAAGGATTTTGCAAACCAGCATGATTAAACTAAAGACAGGATTTTATAGGATAAAATTGGTTTTTACATTTTTGACACTCAAAACATAGCATTCAATTTCCCGATTTCTCTCCAAACCTTTTTTTAGAGCGTAACCTAAATCAAATAATTTAGTACTTTTGAAGTGTTCTTGTACCAGTTTTTTTGTTAGACCTACAGAGAAATTTAAAAAATTGTAAATTTAAAATTCCTATGTTATTCTTATCCTACTAATATTATAAATGAGAAAGTTTGGATGTATGTATGTATGTATGGATGTATGTTTGTGACAAGTGAACGCAAAAAATACTGGCCGGATTGGGCTGAAATTTGGCATGATGATAGCTCACATTCCCGATTAACATATAAGCATATTCTTATTTCAAAAATCCTTTCGGGCTCCGCCCCAGTGGCTCTGGAGTTTCCCATGTTAACCTTATGAGAAATGGAATTATTGAATCTTAACAGCTGTTTCAATTAAACAAGTTGGTTCTGTTCTATGATGTTCAATAGCATTAAAGTTACAAGGATTACCAACAGGGTGCAGCACTATTATTTCTTTTACATTTATGACAACAGCTAATTTGCAACCAAAAGGTGAGTGAGCGTAGCGAACGAACTTCAACCTGGAGGCGAGTTAGCGTAGCGAACGAGCTAACCTGAAGGCAAGTGAGCGCAGCGAGCGAGCTCCAACCTAAAGGTGAGTGAGCGTAGCGAACGAGCTCCAACCTAAAGGTGAGTGAGCGTAGCGAACAAACTTCAACCAGGACGTGATTGAGCCATGCGAACGAGATAATCTTGAAAATTAAGAAGTTAAACGGGGCGAAGCCCGCGGGTTACACCTAGTTGAGAATAAGTAAAATGTTGTAGTTTGCTTGTTTATGGATATATTTTGATCAAGCTTGGCAAAGTTATCTATTTTATACTGAGCTATTAATATTTTACCAAAAAACACTTTTTTACCCTCCATAATGTAGTGATCAAACCTTGGTACTCGTTAAACCTAATGTTATTTAAATAGATTTAACTGAAAATCCAACCAGGTAATTCACTTAGTCTGCAGGTTGCTGTAGTGGGGATATTTTATTTTGTCAAGAGTATGCTGTTTTAAAGGGTTGTTCTGTCATGTACCCGTATGCATTGTTTTTATTTTAATTGAGTACGAGTAATGAAACAGCTGGTCTTTGTAACAAAGCTAGACAAGGCTTCTCACTCCATTCTTCTCTCATATTATGGTAAAAATATGCACCTGGGTCCCCATCACAATCGATAATGATAATTATTAATGCTTAACATTTCAATGTTAAAAAACATAATTTTTGTCCCAATGTCTTTAAAAGTTATTTGTGTAACTAGTGGGTGAAGTGGCATTTTGCTGCAGCGAGAGAAATGTTTACTCACGAACCGTAGGCGAGTATTACTATATAAAGCATATAAAAACTGCTTTTTAGTCTTTCAAACACTGAAAAACGTGTTTTTAGGTTAGGTTAAATCCAACAAATGGGAAACACTGCACCAGCTGATCGTAATCGTAATATCTTTGAGTGTTGCTAACTTATTTAAAGCGTACACATATTACGTGCCTATTAAAGTCACGCTGTTTTGTGTTGTTTGGTTGGAATACTGGTGTGCCGCTAAAAAAAACTGTCCAGCAAAAGTAAGTAGATGCAGCAATTAGCAACTTTCTGTGCTTTAATCAGTGCAAGGAAGGCCACTTTATCAGGTGACTGTAGGATTTTTTTACATTTATTGGAGTAGATTAGGTTTGAGAAATCGCAGCTTTAAATCATATTAGAATTCATCGACATTTATTTTAAACATTGTGTAAGTTACATCCATTGTAGATGAGCCCACAGCCTCACGTGTATCACACATTGGCCCTCACAAGCAGCTGACTCGGTAACACCTCCTCACAATTAATTTTGTTTGTATTATTTCTCCCACAAAGCTTATTTTAAGAATACACTGAAAGAATGTAATATTCGTTACTTTTAAACTCACTCGCATTTAAACCTGTTATTGAGAATGTTAGGATCACTGAAAGAAATTATCCTGTTACCACTCCCCCCTCCCCTACTTCATAAGATGACACCTAAATCTTAAAAATCGGTTAAGTGAGAAAAAGGGTTGTTGTAGACTGTAGAGAAAACTTTTGCTGTATTAAATACTGTATATAGATTTATAATCCTACCACATTTATTTACAAAAATCGATGGCATGGCTAAACAGCTGATCAGTAATGTCAATGACATCAGCTGTTCACTTTTATTACTTGGAGAAAAAAAGAACTTTTGCTCTTTAGCACTTAAATTCATGTACTGCAAAGAGAAATTTGACAGCAGCGCAAAAAACATAATACCATTGATTGTTAACCAAACAATGTTAAGACATTTAACTTATACTCTATAAAAAATGGCATTCCAACCATCACAAGTTATGAAAGTCATCGTTGTTATTAGTAAAAGAATTTCAAAACAAAATATTTTCCCTAACAAGTGCAAAAAACGGTGATGCGAAGTTGAGCTTACAAAGGTAAGCTAATGTTTAAATGTGTCAAAGCCCTAGATAGTGATATTTTCAGTACAAAGTAAAAATCCTTTACTGAAAGGGCACAAGAATATGGGTCACACTCGATCCCTTATCAAATGTCTTGTTACCCTAATGGTGCACGACTTCTGTTAGAGAGTAGCCTACTTTCTTAATAAATGGACTGTTTTTATCACTTTACAATAAATCATTTGAATATGTCAAACTATTTCTGAAATTTACTGTGTATCGTCCTTTTGCTAAATCAATATAGTGAATTTTACCTGTTCAAAATGTTTATAGTTTTAGATTGTGTTGGTTTGTAAGAGAATAATTGTGTGATTTTTATTTACTTTTGTACTGAGATTGTATCAAATACATAAAAAATAATGCTTAACTTTGATAAGCAAAGTTTGTATTTACATTAAGTCTTTAATTCCATATTTCTTTGACTAGGCCTTCTGAAATAATTTTGTTATTTGTCTTAAGTTTAATCAGCTTTTTTCAAAACACTTGGTGAAATTCTTATACATAAGAAAACTGTGGTGTAACAGTTTATCTCCAAATTTGCTTTCATCTTAAGAAGCAGGAAACTGATAGTAAATAAGTAGAAATGGTAAAACAAAAGCAAGTGAAGTAAATTGGGGAATTCTATAACAGTCCTTATCTCATTCTCACAAACATCTAAACTTAAAAAAATATAATACTAGTAAGATTATCCCATTATCTAATACGCTAAAAATAATTTATTCTCAAGCATTTACTTCTTAAGGTCAGTGATATAGTGTTTGTGGGAAAAGGAAAACTCATGTTAAATGTATAAATGCCCCCGCCGCAGCAAACCTGCCGTATAAGCAAATTTCCATTTGTCTGAATTGATTTTCAATTAAATCTATTTAAATAACGAGGTTTTACGAGTACCTAGGTTTGCTGCAACAGGGAAACTAATTACGTGTGGTTTTTAGTAAAACATTAATAGCTTAGTATAAAATAAATTAATTTGCCAAGTTTGATCAAAATATATACATAAATAGCTAACTACAACATTTTACAATATTCGTCATAAGAATGACATGGCAATTTTACAATAAAATTTTTTTTCTCTGTAACTAATAACCGCACAAAAACACTTATATATATTAAATTATTTGTTTTTTAAGCTCTTTTAAAAGGTCTAGGGAGAAATTGGGTAATTTTGTGTTTTTATGGTCAAAAACTAGAAAACCAATTTTTACCCCACAAAAATTCCCCGTAAAACCCCGTTCCCATGGTCCGATCATGCTGGTTCGCGAACTCATCCAAGTTTATCCCGGCCTTACACCTTCAAACCAAACTTTATTACAATCGGACAAAAATTACTAAAAATTTGCCAAAACACAAGCAATTTTTAGATTTATTATTGTTAATTTAGACTCTCATTAGGTTTTTAATCTCAACTCCAGCCACGTTTCATTGTTTGTTAATGAAATTAACACTTTGTAGTCAGCACACCCATCAGAAAAATAAACAGGAAATACAGTGGCATTTTTAGGATGATTCGACATTGAAGTAAAAAACACCAATATATATATATATATCTCTCAATACTATAATAGTATAAAACAAAAATTAACAAAAACAACAGCTTAAATGGTGTGGGTTGAAGTTGGGGTTTCAGTTGACTGGCAGACGTAGTAATATGTATTAGTACATGTTATGGACTGCCATGTTAAATCAGTCAAAACTTGCAGACAATGGTACGGAGTTCCATTCGGCTCTCCACTTCTCCAGTTAGTGAAATTAAGGAAGTTTCCATCCGTCACCCAGCGGAATTCTTTATATCTCTCTAAGTCATTACCTCCAAGCCAAAAACTATTACCTGTAACTGAAAGAAAAAGTTTGTTATATATATAATAACAAAATCCACAATAATATTATATATATTATAATTATATTAATATTATATATTTTTTAACAAAATCCATTGTATTTTGTTATCTATTTAAAATCCATTTTAAGATTTATATTTATTCTTGCTCTTCCTCTCCCAAACTTACACTTAAGAGCTTAGTTTTTTGCAAGCCTAACAGTGTCTGAGATACCAATGGGGGCACAGTTAAGTTTTTCACCCTATAAACTGTAAATAAAATACATATAATTGATTTGTAATATTTCTTAAGCTGATTGCAATTAGAACATTTTATTGTCGAGTATTGTGAATGGAAATGTTTGAGTAATAATAATAAACCGAACAGGGAAGTTTAATAATCGTAAAACTCCCTAAAAAGCCATAGATCCTGCAAAATTGTACATTAGTTTGTACTTAAGTCTCATACTGATAATCAATACTATATTTTTATGTGAAATTAGTAAAAAAATGTTATTTCCTACAGTCACCTGACAAAGTGGCCTTCTTTGTACTGATTACAGCACAGAAAGTTGCTAATTGCTGCATCTACTTATTTTTGCCGCACACTTTTTACTTTTGCACGCAAGTTTTTTGCGACACACTAGTATTCCAAACACAAAACAGTGTGTTTTAAGGCACTTAATGAGTTAATACGTGTACGCTTAAAAATAAGTTGGCAACACTTAAAGATATTACGACCAACGATATAGAACACTCCTTCTTGGAGTGTTGTATATTGTTGATTACGACTACAGCTGGTGCAGCGTTTCCCATTTCGTCCAATGTTTGTATTCAACCTAACCCAAAAACGTGTTGTACAGTGTTTGAAAGACTTATTATTTATATGATTGATAGTAACTGTAGGAAAAATATAATGTGTAACGCTATTGCAAAATGCCTTTGCTGAAGCAAAGTACCACTTCGCCCACAACAAAAATAACAACTATTGCCTAGAGCTGTATATGAAAAAATGCCTAGTAAAGAAAAAAAACTCACTGGTGGAATTGTAAGCCGCAATCAGGCTGGTCCATTCATCTTCATTGTTGACTGTTGCCAATTTCATTCCCTGGCTATAGCAGTCGTCGAGAGCATCGAACCAAGATTTCTATAAAAACATGTACGTTAGTACTTCTCAACTTCCCCATACTACCTACCCACTCTTCTACCAGTGAACAAAAATCTTACCCACATTTTCCACAATATAAAATAAAATTCCACTCTAAATTTTTATTTAGAGTTACTTTATGTGATTGAGTGTTTTAATAGTTTTGCAATGCTATATTATTTTGAAATAAGATTTTTTTTTTCGTTGCCGTTTATATATTGTTAAAAATATTGTTTATGGACCTTATAAACATATTGTTTATCAACCTCACCAAAAGGTGTTTTAAAATAATTTTTGTCTTTTGAAATATCTTAAAACTGTTAAAACAAATATTTTGACACTTAAAAAACATACTTCAAGTTGAGGGTGGATATTAAACCTATCATTTTCATAAAATAGTTAATTATATCTAGTGATGTGGGCCGGGTAAATACCCAGTGGGTAGGTAAATATAAATTGGGTATTTACCTGGGTATTTACCCCAGGCCCGGGTAAATACCCAAAAACTGGGTATTTATAATTTGTATTAAAGTTAGAGAAGATTGAGATGTTTTTTTGCAATTATTACCTTGTAAGGATAGCAAAATTATAATAAAATGTTTTAAACAAAATTTCATATGGTCACTACTTGCATTTTACTTCTCGGTATAATATCCATAAATACCCAGGTCTGAGCATAAAGCATAATCGGCATAAATACCCTGGTCGCATGGTCCTGACTACTTATGGTTTTTTAAATTCTATGATAGATAGATGAATTTATTTTATTAAAAGTGAAGAAAAATAATTTGTAAAGTAATAATTATTATTTAGAAAGACAGGAAAATTTAAAACCTAGTAGTGGCCTATGTGTAAACAACTTAAGAAAATAATTTAAATTCAATCTGTAGGATGGCAGGATTTAATAATATTTTTGTTCTAGATCTTTTGTTGGTATAAAAAAAACTAATTTCATAAGCTTGTGATTAAACAAATTTGAATCTATAGCACAATAAATCTTTCCAAATAATAACTTATTATAAGTTAGACCAAAAAACAGGAGATACATTTTTTAGTAGAGGTTTATCCAAATATATTATTGTTTCCAACTAAGCGGTAACACAGAAAAGTTTAATGTAGACTCCCTCTTATCCGGACACCTTTTCACCGGACAATTTTTATCAGCCCATTGGTTTAACCTGACTAGATTGGCAAGAAGTGAGCGGTACTGAAACGACCGTTCTTGTGGGAAAGATTTGAGACCAGTGATCACGTATCTAAATACAATGCTCTCCTAAATTAAAGTCGAATATGACAGTACCGGTACACGGATTCCGTTTTAACAAGTTTTTGGGGACGTCGGTTTAACCAGAAAACCCGTTATCTGGACTAGCCTCGGTCCCGAGGAGTCCGGATAAGAGGGAGTCTACTGTACATTCAATATTCTGCCAATATCAATCAGGCCTTGGGTCTGTCTAGCCTTCCAAGCCATTTACACAATACAAATTTTAACTTTAATAATTTAATAACAGTAGAAGTAGGTTTAGGTTCAATATTTCTCTGATGAGGTGTTGTCTTGATTTCATAAGTGCTAAATCATTAAATAAAAGGTACTAGCAAAGCTTCAAGTTACTGTAAAAGGTGTTATAGACTATCCTAATTTATCATGTAATGATAACAATAACATATTTAGGGGTAAATAAAAATGAATTTCAATCGATTTCATAAATACCCAAAATACCCGGGTATTTATGGATTTTGGGTATTTACCCGGGTAAATACCCAGGGTATTTACCCCGAGTTTTAAATACCTGGGTATTTTACATCACTAATTATATCCCATATCCCTGCAAAGAACAAATATGTTGTTAGTGAATTATGCAATGAATTATTAAATTTAGAATATATACTTATACCAACCGTTGTATTGCTAAAGTGGTAAGTCTTGTTGCCTGTTTTAGATGAACCACCAGAGGGACCTGTGAACAATCATTCTTAAAGTTATTGTAAGAACAAAATATTTTACCATTATTTGGAACTTTTCTTTTAAGAAAAAATTGTTCTTTTAATTTGTTTGGTTTTTACCATAGACAAAATTATCATACATACTATACCATGACGCAAGCAATGCGCAGCATGATTCCCGGCTAGAGCATATTGTCCTAGAAATATCTACTCACCACTGGATTAGCACTTACAGTAAGGCACACACCCGTTGTAGGCGTCCCCGATGAACCCGACCTGGCAAGAGCAGACGGGGTAGTGATTCTTGACATAGCAGTCAGTGTTGTTGCCGCAAACTCTGTCTTCACAAGGATCAACACACTTCTGCAGACGACATGAACGATCGTCTGGGCAGTGGGAGTTAGACTGGCACTCCGGCATGGCTGTGATATGAGAAAACATTACATGAAAACCACACAGAAAACCACCTTAATTTTCTTGTTCATTCGACAATTTGGTCTTTGAGACCCTAGATTTTCTGGGTAGCCAAGTGGTCATAGTGTTAAACCACAGTGTGTGAGGCAGTTTACTTGTGAAGAGTGTCCATCTTTTAGAAAACATTGATCATGTGGTACTATGATATCACTAAAAGTGTTAGCATTTCTTCGAACGTGTTAAGTTAAACTCAGATTATAATTTAGCAAACTCTCTGTTGAAATTGCTATGTACTATGAAAGAAAGTTGATTTATGTTTTAATACAAATTTTTATTCTGTAGCAAATTATTGTGAGTTAGCTTCTTTCAGTGAAAACAAAACAAAAACAAATTAATGTAAACAAAGTCATATGATACATAAAAGAAATTAGGAAACAGTTGTTTGAACACAGCACCTCTCCCCTAAGTTTTAGAATCACATATTCATTCTTGTAACCGGTTGTTTTTTCCTTGAGCTTCTTCTTAAGACAGGGTTTGAGGCTTCACCGTTTGGTAGAGGAGCTAGAGGTTGGTCCTCGTCGCCATCTGCTATGTACTATGAAAGAAAGTTGATTTATGTTTTAATACAAATTTTTATTCTGTAGCAAATTATTGTGAGTTAGCTTCTTTCAGTGAAAACAAAACAAAAACAAATTAATGTAAACAAAGTCATATGATACATAAAAGAAATTAGGAAACAGTTGGTTGAACACAGCAGAAATAGCGTTTCAGACTTCGGTGTTAGGACGGGTTCAATTCCCAGCACATCAACCAAACATTAAATGCGTTTGCACCACTTTCCCTTAATTCGTTTGTGCAGCGTCTTCTATGTGCTTCCAAAATCCATAAGCAACAGGCATAGACGTAATTATATAAACTAAATAGTTAATCTACGGTTAAAAATATCAACAGCACTGACAGTTTCACTCACAAGACGTTGTGCAGCCTTCGTCCATGGTGAAGACAAACCCCGGAAGGCAAGCACACAGGGGACGATGGTTGACCACCCTGCATGCTGTGTTGAGGCCGCAGCCATCTTGGCAAGGGTCTTCACATCTGTTGCTCAAACACATCCGGTCAGAGCTGCAGTCAGAGTTCTTCGTACACTCTCCTGCATTGAACATGAAAAAAACTGAATCTCGACAGATTGATTGCTTTTTTGTTGTAAAGAAGTTACTTTTCGCACTGTATATACCACGTGTGATATTATGGTATTCTATTTTATATAGGTTTTGTTAAACTACATCGTATGTCTTCTGAGAAACTAAATATTTAACTTTATGGTTATGTTCTTATTTTCTATGTAAACACCACAACAATAGATGGTGAGTTTTTCTTAAGTTCTAGAGAGTCCGGGAATTTAACATACTCTTGGACATAGTGAAGAATTCACTGCATCTGGTTGTTTTGTTGTCGCGACACAATAATAGAGGTAAACAAATAATATTGTTAAGTTAAAATGAAATTTCCCAGAAGACATTTCCAAACACAAACACCCGGCTTTATTGAAATGAAACTTTTAAAGAAACTTAATGAAGAACATGTCTAGTATGGCTCAAAATTGAGCTGTACCCTTAACCGTGATTAAGTCCTTTTAGTTTCACCGGACATTCAACGTATATCCTATAAGTTTATCATATAACATAATCATGTCATTTATACACAACTGAAGATTCTTGTATTACTGGCGCTGTCGATAATTTTCCCACACATAATTTTGTGGGGGTAACTTATGAAAAAAATAATTATTTGAGAGTTAAATAACCATCAAAACAAACAAGTCTGTTTAGGTTCAATAGGACATGGAAATTTCTTCCTTAATAAAATAGATAGTTTATTGATAAACTAAATTAATGTGCTGATTGCAATTTATCTCAAATAGTAATTGAAAGTTAACTGATTGAGTGATTGACGTTGATATGTTGAAGTGTACTTAACACTTTACTTAAAACACTTGAAATCCATCTATACTAATTACTGTAAATTCGGCCTCTTAATGGCAGCCATGGACAATGTATTAATAAATCCGAAAATAATTTGAAGCATGTAAGTGTTTTAAGCTTAACTTTTGTATTCGTACATTTGTTTAGTTAGATTCCTTACTACTAATAATGATTGCTGTTATTAATCTGTAATAACTTTGTTTGCTCAGTTAAAAATATAACGATTTTATTTTAGCCAAAATAAGTTTGTTCACTACCTAAAAAGAAAATTGTGACTACAATCTCAAAAGATTTAAATATATATTAGTTTACTTAGATTCTTCCTTAGTACAATTTGGATTAGCATTAATTATGTTTTAAGCTATCGAACATTATCCCTTGATTTATTTGGTTAATTTTTTTTCGAAGAAGGTCTTTTTTAAACCTCTATTACTATATATTCTCCTTAAGTAACAAAATGCAGTACTACCTGGTAATATTGACCTCTTCAGTATTTGGATAGGTACAATAGTGAGACATAACAAGTGTTCTGATACACCTCAAGACATTTGTAACACCGTAAGAAATAATCTTTAATCGTCTCCACGATGGTATATTTCCATAAAACAAAAAATTTTTAAGTTTGTTGAATAAAATAGTACCAAATTGTGAACAAGAAATGTTAAGACATGATTTGCCATTTGCCGGAAAAATGCCATACACCTAATTTTTTGAATTTTCTATAATTATTTTGCTTCGTATTCATGTTATATTTTCTTGCGTGTATTCGATTGGAAAATTGACCGTTAGGCACGAAATAATTGGTTTTGCGATGAAAAATGGAACCACTTGAAGGTGACTGGTGTTTTAAGCTTATATTAAGTATTACTCTATCAGTTTCCTGAAGGTGAGACGATACCTGCTGTACATTCCGTGAAAGGATCTCCCTGATGACCTGGCTTGCAGTAGCACAGAGGTGTGTCGTCTTCATCCACCACACACTCAGTGTTGAGGCCACACACGTTGCAAGGGTCCACACACTGAGAGTCCACACATATCAGGCCTGGGGAACAGTCGTTGTCGTAGGTGCAGTTGCCTGTGGACAAAAATGGCTTCAGAGAAAGAAAACTTTATCAACATTCATTCATACACTCAGCTAAGATCAAGTTGGGTTAGTATTACTGTGTCCTACTTCTATAGACAGTCTATCTTCTAGCATTTTAAAAATCCATTTATGAAATACAGAGCATGCTAGAAGATAGAAAAAGAAAAATCGATAAAAAAAAATCGAAATTGTTCATTGAATATTGTTATTTGTGCAACTGATAAGTAATTTCGTATAGTTCCTTAAAGGAAGATAAAAAATTTACGCTCATGGCTTTTTACGACATGCCAAGTATTTGATTGAAAATCGGTGTTCGGTTAAGAAAACTTAAGTACGCTAAAACAAATAACTTACGCTAGTCAATATAATCAATATATAGCCTTAAAACTATTTTCAACATTAATAATTTCTTAGTCATCATAATCAATTACCGGTACTGTTGTTTAAAGGTTGAGCCGTTGCACTGCCTATGCATACCAACACACATAACCAGATGTACGCCTGCTCCATCGTAGAGGTTAATGGATATTAAGGTAAGTTGAGAGGGTTTAAGTAGCTTTTATTTATATGGTTTCACTTCCTTGTAATTTATATTTTATTATCAATATAAGTAAAATGTCAATCAAATAATCACTTAACTACTCATTCGCTTAGTCGACCCAAGACAAGTATAAGTACCTTAAAAGTGTGTGCAATCTCAAGAAAAAGTCGTTTAATTCATTGCTAAGTGGATTTGCATTGCGAGAAATGATTTGGTAATCACTGATAATTTTCTAGCCGATGCTCCATATTTGACAAGAACATATAAGGGGTTTTTAAAGTTATCAGGTTTTTGTATTCATAAAAACCAATTTAGTTGTTTGTTGGTCCAACAGCAATAATTTTGGTATCCAAAACACATATCAAAAGGAAAATATATAATAGGTATCGTAAAAACATTGTTTTGCAATTTTTATTCTCTCAAAGCCGGGGCCTTTTCCTTTCAGAAAACGTAAACAATAGTGACCTTAAAACGTACAAATAAAAAAAATTATGTTTGAGCAAATGCTGTTTCTCTATTGTGATAATAATTTTTACGATGAGTAAGAAACTTATTTTGGCAGTATTGAAAAAGTTTAACAATTCTTTAACAAATCTCTGAAAACATTTACAGTTGGTGAAATTGAGGGTACATCGACTCGAGAATCAGGCTACTGTCCTTTTGTGATTACATTTCAAATATAACCCGACAAAAACCCTAACCTACCTTAACATCACGTTGTGGTCCCAAGTCTGTTTACAAAGGCTGGTTCTGAATTGTTTACTCAATTCACAAAATACTGCATTCTCGCTTTCTTTATCCAGACATAACGTATTAAGGGTGCTGCTTCATGATAACAATGTTTAAAAATATACGGAACGTTCTACGTTTACAAATAAATTGAAAATGAATTGTATGTAGTTTAATAATGTTTATTTGAGGAAATTCCAGGGTATGAATCTATATATTAATTTGAAACTGTTTTTCTTTGTGAAAGCTATTTTGAGAGAACGGCTGGGCGTAGAAACTCGGTAGGGGTGTCTAAAGAAAGGTCCTGGTCTGTAGATGAGCCATCAAAAGAGAAACATGGAGAATTCCCTCGGGGCTCTGCCCCAGTGGCCTTTAAATTCCCATCCCATGTTATTCTTATGGAGGAAAACGAGGTTTTTGTCACAGCTAATTTGAGAGAACGGCTGGGCGTAGAAACTTGGTAGGGGTGTCTAAAGAAAGGTCTTGGTCTGTAGATGAGCCATCAAAAGAGAAACATGGTGAATTCCCTTGGGGCTCTGCCCCCGTGGCCTTTAAATTCCCATCCCATGTTATTCTTACGACGGAGGAAAACGGGGTTTGTAGGTGAGCCCTCAAAAGAGAAACGATGTAAATTTCCTTGGGGCTCTGCCCCAGAGGCCTTTAAAGTTCACTCTGCAATTTTGTTTACATTTCGACCATATGGATAATTTTACACTACTTTTAATGAACCAGCTGTTAATATTAAAATTGTATTCAAAGGCTTACTAAAACTGTCAAAATTAAATGTTTACATTATTATTTATGATTTTAAATGGATTCTCCACTGCATGGCAAGTTTTTTATAGTTTCAACAAAATGATGAATTTATGATACGTTTGAAATGTTTTGTTCAAAAATCTATGCTTTATTGCTCTTAGAAAATTTTAAATTATGAAATAAGTGTGACTTATCAATTTCAAAGGAACATATAACTATTCCTTATCGGGTTAGCTTATACATATTGTAAGGTTGGCACTTTAAAACCTTTTTTACTACTTTCAATCACCATTTATTTTTAAATTCAAGAAAGAACACCTGAGATTCATTTATTGTTATAACAGTTTTTGATAATCGGGTTGAAAATTGTGTCATAGATGAGTACGTTGAGGATGAGAGCTGTGTTCAAGTTTTGGAATAGACTAACTACGGAGCCTATGATTTTGGTAAAGTAGGTGAACTAATGTCAATTCAGGTATTTAAAAAAAATGTGTACACCGTTTTTACTTTGATGTACACATGTAGCTAGGTTGAACAACGCATCTAAACCTCACTACATACAAAACATTCGGAAACACAACAGTGTTATCACATCTCATCGCATTTGCATAATTTGTTACCAATGCTGGACTAGGTTATGGATTTGGTTCCGCAAATGTTCAAGATTTGTGATACAATTTCCTACAATTATGGTTCATTCCAATCCACGAAATACATGCACAGCTTTATGTGATCTATATGGCCAAGGCAAAACTACCCCATAAGTTAATGAATTATCAAGTAAGAACAGGATGATTACATACATGGGTCGATGTGGCAAGAGAAGGATTTAAAATTGCTGAGATCGAAGTAAGAATGTTACTGCTTTCTGGAGAATCAGATATTTTTATAAAAAAAAAGATGAATATTTACATCTTTTAAGATAAATCCGGATACACTCTGAATGATTTTCCTACAGCAGATGGAATTAGTGGTTAGTAATAAATATTGACTCTTTCCGTAACATTATAGACTAATTATATGAACTCATTCTCCCATATAGTGAAAGTGGCTTTGGTATGAAACAAACTCATGAACAAACAATTATAAGACTCCTAAAAAACCTTTTGGGCAACCTAAAGCCGATAAAAAGAAAGGTAGGAAATATTGTGTTAAACGAATTCATCAATCACGTTTTTTAGGGAACACAATCGTCATAGGCCTACTTATTATTGCTTATCCTCCCTTCATATAACTAAGATTTTAATGACTTTACTCTATCCAACGCAGTTAGCTGAATTTACATAAAACCTCAAGATTAACCGTCGATTTCGACGGGGTTCCACTAGTACCCATTAACTGAAAATTTGGTTTTCACTTGGAAGTATAATATAACTGATTATAAGAGAATGATTTTTAGAGACAACGATAAGTATAACAAAAAACCCTTTCAAAACTGCACTGAAATATAATATGATTTTTATGTAATCATTTTTATGATTTTTATGTATGATTGTATGAATTTTAGTAAATTTATAAGTTTATTAAACTGTACAGAGCTAGCTGTATAGAGAAGTTTAGTATTAACAATAAAGTTACAACATTATAGCTTTGCTTCTGTATCCAATAGTCAATGGTTATAGGCAAATATGAACTAGTTTCTGTAATTGCAGAAAATCGTAAATGTGTATTTGTAATTGCATTGTAGCACAGACAGCTGATTGTGGCAGTATCAGTACCAATTCTGATGGGGACGCCACCTAGATGCGTATTTCAACCCAAATATGAGTAAATACCGAGTGTATGATCATATTTTAGCGAATTTCCCATATAGGGAATAAGCTATTACCGTAGTACTCATGGTAAGACCTGGACCCGAGACCGATCTAATTTTTCATTTTGAGGTCCCTAGAGGCCAAAAACACCATCCGTTCAAATTCATATATATATATATATATTTATATATATATTTATATATATATATATATATATATATATATATGTGTGTCCGTTAGCGCGATAACTCGAGCAAAAATGATCCGATTTTGATGAAATTTGGTACAAACGTGTAAACCTACGTTTATTCGAACGAGTTCGCGATCCAGCATAATCGGACCATGGGAACGGGGGTTTATGGGGGGTTTTATGGGGTAAAAATGGGTTTTTCCCATTTTTCAACCTAAAAACAAAAAATTTTGCGATTTCTTTCTAAACCGTTTTGTAGAGCTTAAAAAAAGAAATAATTTAGTATATTGAAGCGCTGTTGTATGCCTAACGGTCACGGAGAAAATTCAAAAATAGTGTAATTAAAAATTCCCATGTTATTCTTATGGAGAAAATGAAAATTGTTGTAGTTTACTTGTTTATGGGTATATATTGATAAAATTTGGCAAATTTATTTATTTCATCCTATACTATTGACGTATGGTCAAAAAACACTTTTTACCTTCCCCGTAGCAGCAAACCTAAGCACTCGTTAAATCTAATGTTATTTAAATAGGGAATAATATGTCTTATTTATGGAAATATTTTAGTAAAAATGTAATCAGACGAGTTTAAATTCGCTTAGTCTGCAGGTTTGCTGCGGCGGGGGTATTTTTAGTCTATGGTAAAATGGAGTGAGAAGCCTTGTGCAGCTTTGTTACTGACTAATATCAGCTGTTTAATTTAGCCAGGACCATTTCATTAAATCCCCTTGATCCAGGACAGCTGTATAAAAAAATTAAACAATACAATTAGAAAATAACTAATGCAGATAAAATATCTCATTCATAATAAAATCGTAATTTAGAGTGAGTTTCAATACAGAAAACCCAACACAAATTATTGCTGTTTACAACACAATGTGGTGTACAAATTATAATAAGCATTCTTTTAGTGTTGTTCAAAGGTTTATTGCGGACATTTTCCATCACGAATGTAAAAAAACAATACACAACGTTTCGGGATCTGGAATCTGATCCCGTCTTCAGGTGAAAAAACTTAACTAACACATTACAACTAACAATACACAAACGCCCAACCTAAGTTGGAATACACTACCGAGGGTAGTAGTCAAAAAATATGCACTGTATAGCAGTCAAGTCATGATACAACATGCAATTAATAACAAATCACAAAACACTATAATCTATAAAAGGTTTACGTACAAAAAACTCACACAATGGAACACTAACAACACCGTACGCTATGACTCCACCAATGAGACTGAACCAACAAGGCTGACCAATCGGAAACACGGAGACAACAGAAATGGCTTCCGGTCCCTGGAAAAGTAAAACCAACAAAATGGCGGAGCGATGTACGATGCCGCAAGATGGGTGTTAATTATGTTTATTCATATCACGAGTTTTACTACGAGTTAACATAACGTGCGAATTTTGAGGAGAACTCGTTATTTCCCTATTTATTGAACAATTAAGTACTACCCTCGGTAGTGTATTCCAACTTAGGTTGGGCGTTTGTGTATTGTTAGTTGTAATGTGTTAGTTAAGTTTTTTCACCTGAAGACGGGATCAGATTCCAGATCCCGAAACGTTGTGTATTGTTTT